TCTAAAAAGAACTCATTAACAGCTACAGCTGATGTTATGAAACAATTTTCTTCAGCCATATATAAATCAACACCATTCTCATCTATCTGTACCAACTACAAGTAATGCAATGACTATAAATGTCCCAGATAAACAGCAAGATACCAACCCGACTGATGTGCATAGGCCTTCTAATAACAGCATAATAGTTAGGGGCATACTCCTCCTCTACAGCATCATGGAAGGGCCAGGCATCCTCATGATCTCGCAGATGTTCCAAGACCTTATACATTCCTGTGCGAAGGTCATCCTCTGTTTGAAGAACCCTGAGTACAAGACAAAAATAATTATTTCATAAGGTCAGCTCAAGTCACCAATAGATGCTGAGAAACATGAGACTAGAAGTATTAGATACTCACAATCACATTTTCATGAACTGAACAAGAAAACATGTAGTGTATTGTTTGTTTATATCATATATAATACAAATACTTAAGGACTGAATGAGTTAATTCAGTCCAATTTCCTAAAAGGTAAACTGTAGCAGAAACAAATATAAACTTACATATGAGCACTTTTAACTTTCTTCTTAGTTGGTGGTGAAGTGACTGTGTTGACAGCAGTAACATTAGGTTCAGGCACAACTGCTGCTGGACTGAGTGAAAACGCCACAGATGACAGAGAATTGTTTGTTTTCCGTCCACTATATACCTGTAGGGAAAATCATCTTTACTGCATAATCCTTTAAATACAAACTACCCATTCTCAATTTACTCTCATACAGTATCAAACCAAGAGATGTTAAAAGAAGAAAGTATATAGCAAAAGACCTATCAGTACCATTATCTGTTTTCCTTTCTTTCTCTTATGATATCCAATTTGCTCATATAGGAATTTATTACATATGATTTCACATGTTATGCAAAAGGTATCACTAGTAAACTGGATGGACAGTACAAATAAAATAAATTTAGGAACTTATGGAATGCAAAACTAATATCTCTTCATGTAATCTGAATATCCAAAGCTTCTTTTCATTATGTACAAGATAAAACTATGTGCTCATTTTGTATAAAACCTGAATACATAGAAACAAATTAAATGAAAAATTAAAAATCATATATTATAAAAACACAATACTTGTTCAGCTTCAGTAGTTTCTATGACTACCACAGACTTCACTGGTTGATTATATTAATAACAGACAGCCTACCTGAGGCTTAGAGCTCTCCTCCTCCTCATCCGACACTTCCTCCTTGGCGACGCGCTTTTTGGACCCAGGTTTTCTTCCCGGTTTTCTCCCTCTTCTCTTCTGCGGGGATTCTTCCTGAGAGTAGTCCATGGCTTTCTTTTCCCGGACTTCTTTGACTTTCTTTATTGGCTCCTTGACCTCCTCGACGACCTCCTCCTCCTCCTCTTCCTCCTCCTCCTCTACCTCCGAGGTGTCGTTTATCTCAATCAAGAAACAAGAAACAAGAACAAGAACAAGAATAAGAATAAGAATAAGAATAAGAATAGAATAAGAATAAGAATGAATAATAATAATAAAGAATAAAAATAAGAATAAGAACAAGAACAAGAATAGAATACGAATAAGAATAAGAGTAACAATAAGAATAAGAGTAAGAAATAGAATAGGAATAGAATAAGAATAAGAACAAAGAATAAGAGTAAGAAGAAGAATATGAATAGAATAAGAATAAGAGTAATAGCAAGAATAAGAGTAAGAATAAGAACAAGAATAGAACAAGAACAAGAACAGAACAAGAACAAGAACAAGAATAAGAATAAGATAAGAATAAGAATAAGATAAGAATAAGAATAAGAACAAGAACAAGAACAGAACAAGAACAAGAATAAGAATAAGAATAAGAATAAGAATAAGAATAAGAATAAGAATAAGATAAGAATAAGAATAAGATAAGAATAAGAATAAGATAAGAATAAGAATAAGAATAAGAATAGAATAAGAATAAGAATAAGAACAAGAATAAGAGTAAGAATAAGAATAAGAATAAGAAAAGGAATATGAATAGAATACGAATAAGATTAAGAGTAACAATAAGAATAAGAGTAAGAAATAGAATAGGAATAGAATAAGAATAAGAACAAGAACAAGAACAAGAACAAGAACAAGAATAAGAATAAGAACAAGAACAAGACAAGAACAAGAACAAGAATAAGAATAAGAAAAAGAAAAAGAATAAGAATAAGAATAAGAACAAGAACAAGAATAAGAATAAGATAAGAATAAGAATAAGAATAGAATAAGAATAAGAATAAGAATAAGAATAGAATAAGAATAAGATAAGAATAAGAATAGAATAAGAATAAGAATAAGAATAAGAACAAGAACAAGAACAAAACAAGAACAAGAACAAGAACAAGAACAAGAACAAGAATAAGAATAAGAACAAGAAGAAGAACAAGAATAAGAATAAGAATAGAATAAGAATAAGAATAGAATAAGAATAAGAATAGAATAAGAATAAGAATAAGAATAGAATAAGAATAAGAATAGAATAAGAATAAGAACAAGAACAAGAACAAGAACAAGACAAGAACAAGAACAAGAACAAAACAAGAACAAGAACAAGAATAAGAATAAGAATAGAATAAGAATAAGAATAAGAACAAGAACAAGAATAAGAATAAGATAAGAATAAGAATAGAATAAGAATAAGATAAGAATAAGAATAGAATAAGAATAAGAACAAGAACAAGACAAGAACAAGAACAAGAATAAGAATAAGAATAAGAACAAGAACAAGAACAAGACAAGAACAAGAACAAGAACAAGAATAAGAATAAGAACAAGAACAAGAATAAGAATAAGAATAGAATAAGAATAAGAACAAGAACAAGAACAGAACAAGAACAAGAATAAGAATAAGAATAGAATAAGAATAAGAACAAGAACAAGAACAAGAACAAGAATAAGAATAAGAACAGAACAAGAACAAGAACAGAACAAGAACAAGAATAAGAATAAGAATAAGAATAAGAATAGAATAAGAATAAGAACAAGAACAAGAATAAGAATAAGAAAAAGAAAAAGAAAAAGAAAAAGAATAAGAATAAGAATAAGAATAAAATAAGAATAAGAATAATAAAGAATGAAAAGAAAAGAAAAAAGGCCACATCTGACAAAAGAATTCTTCTGACAAAAGAAATAAGAACAAGAAACAAGAAACAAGAACAAGAACAAGAACAAGAACAAGAACAAGAACAAGAACAAGAACAAGAACAAGAATAAGAATAAGAATAAGAATAAGAATAAGAATAAGAATAAGAATAAGAATAAGAATAAGAATAAGAACAAGAACAAGAACAAGAACAAGAACAAGAACAAGAATAAGAATAAGAATAAGAATAAGAATAAGAATAAGAATAAGAACAAGAATAAGAATAAGAATAAGAATAAGAATAAGAATAAGAATAAGAATAAGAATAAGAACAAGAACAAGAACAAGAACAAGAATAAGAATAAGAATAAGAATAAGAATAAGAATAAGAATAAGAATAAGAATAAGAAAAAGAAAAAGAAAAAGAAAAAGAATAAGAATAAGAATAAGAATATTTTTCTAACCTTTCTGTCTTCTCTCCTGAAACAGACTCCTCTTCTTTTCTCTTCTTCTTCTTCTCTTCTTCCAGCTGTCTTCTCTTCTCTTGTTCAACTATTTCTATGGCCAATTTCTTCTCTTCCTCTTCCTTCTTCTCCTTTAGTTTCTGTACTCTTCCTGATGATCTCCGTGGGGCAAATTCCATCATCCGTTTCCTCTGTATCTGGTAATGCGGAAATTTCTTATTACTTAAGTAAATACATCCCTACTAACATACATACATGAATATATAGAAATTAAGTGCAAGAATTACTTCAATCTTACTCATTCACTCATTTATCTGTTTGTTTGTCTGTCTGTCTGTCTGTCTGTCTGTGTCTGTGTGTCTGTCTGTCTGTGTGTCTGTCTGTCTGTGTGTCTGTCTGTCTGTGTGTCTGTCTGTCTGTGTGTCTGTCTGTGTGTCTGTCTGTGTGTCTGTCTGTGTCTGTCTGTCTGTATGTCTGTCTGTATGTCTGTCTGTCTGTGTCTGTCTGTGTGTCTGTCTGTCTGTCTGTGTGTCTGCCTGTCTGCGTGTCTGCCTGTCTGTGTGTCTGCCTGTCTGTGTGTCTGCCTGTCTGTGTGTCTGCCTGTCTATCTGTGTCTGTCTGTCTATCTGTGTGTCTGTCTATCTGTGTGTCTGTCTATCTGTGTGTCTGTCTATCTGTGTGTCTGTCTGTCTGTTTGTGTGTCTGTCTGTCTGTTTGTGTGCCTGTGTGTCTGTCTGTGTGTGTGCCTGTGTCTGTCTGTCTGTGTATCTGTCTGTCTGTGTGTGTGTCTGTCTGTGTGTGTGTGTGTGTGTGTGTCTGTATGTGTGTGTGTCTGTCTGTGTGTGTGTCTGTCTCTGTGTGTGTGTCTGTCTGTCTGTGTCTGTCTGTCTGTCTGTGTCTGTCTGTCTGTTTGTGTCTGTCTGTGTCTGTGTCTGTCTGTTTGTGTCTGTCTGTCTGTCTGTGTGCCTCTGTGTGCCTCTGTGTGTGTGTGTGTGTGTGTGTGTGTGTGTGTGTGTGTGTGTGTGTGTGTGTGTGTGTGTGTGTGTGTGTGTGTGTGTGTGTGTGTGTGTGTGTGTGTCTGTCTGTATGTGTGTCTCGTCTGTCTGTGTGTCTGTCTGTCTGTCTGTGTGTCTGTCTGTCTGTGTGTGTGTCTGTCTGTGTGTGTGTGTGTCTGTCTGTGTGTGTGTGTGTCTGTCTGTGTGTGTGTCTGTCTGTGTGTGTGTCTGTCTGTCTGTGTGTGTGTGTGTGTCTGTCTGTGTGTGTGTGTGTGTGTGTCTGTCTGTGTGTCTGTCTGTGTGTCTGTCTGTGAATCTGTGTCTGTTTATTTACTCCTTCACCTATTTTTTCATTTATCCATTTTCTCAATTATTCATTTACCCATTTACCCATTAACTTATTTAACAATTTATTAACTTCTTTACTTATTTATTCT